AAGGATTAATTTCAAAGTGCTTTTTGTTTTGTTTTCGTTTTTAATTTCATAGTGCTTTATCAGTGCACACAAACTCCAACAACATAAGGAAGAAGAAGACTTAAAACAACTCAAGCTGCTTTCATTGGCCACGTCAAGAATAAATTGAATAATTTCCCAGTTACAAATATATACATAACATTGGGAGAAATTAGTTTCAGAACTGAATTACATGAAATACAAAAATAAATAAAAATTATTGAGCTATTTATTTCTCTTAACGAAAAACATAACTACAAGGACTTATGTGAGTACAGAGCAGCATTTTCGTGAACGACCACCCTCTTCCTCCGAGCCCTCTCCTCAGAGAGAATTTTCGCCATCCTACAAGATCATGCAAATTAATGGGCAAAACCAAAGTAATCAGTATGATAATGTATTGAATTTAAACAACTTAATAATGAGAATAAATTAGAAAATTTGTACCTCACGAGAGCCTCTTCATTTGTAACCTCAGGATGAACAGGCTCGAGTTTACCGGTACCAAAATTCAATCTCGAAACAGGTTTCTTCAACAATGCCTCTCCAACTTTTACAAGATCATTCAAGTTTTCTTCTGTGGCAATATCCACAGAAGCCAATTTTCCACTTAGTGTATCGTCCTGCACCCATTTCCAATTCCATGCTTAGTTTGTGTTGTAGATAATTTAGGCGCATGTATTTTGATTCTGTGTACATATATACATAACATAAAAACAAACAAGCGACCACTTGACGTTTATCTCAATTTTATTGTGTTACCTGAATTCGGAGGTAATTGCTATTAGGCTGATGAGCTTTAAAAAAGGAACCACTGAGGTATTCATTCATCTCACTATTTACTCTCATAAGAAGATCCACCAGTGGAGCCGAACGATCTTTTCCGATCAGCCAATCCAGAGCACCCCAACAAGCTGCTTTTTTGGCATCGTACTTCTTCTCGGATGTCATACCTGTCCCCAGTGATATAAGTAAGACCCGCTCATGGATGCCAGTGTTGCCCTCGTGCATGTCCATTTCCGATTCGGTTATACCAACCACAGCCTACCCCAACAAAAAAAAGGGTAAAAAATTAATTAATGATCATATATACGAATTATTCAGATGCAAATTAAGTTTTTGAAATTGGGTCACATCAATATTACCGGGTTATTGGCAGCAATTCCACCATCAATGAGATTGAATTCTCTTGATTCGCCTGTTGAAGTTGTGGTATTAAATTGATGAGGTGGAAGGTAGGCTGGGGCTGCTGAAGTTCCGACACATATATCCGACATCAAAGCATCTAGGCTGGCATCCTTTTTCAACTGAAATCATGACCAACATATATACACAAAATCAACAATTATTTACAAAAAGAGAAAACCCAAGAATTAAATTATATACACATATGTGTTCGAATTAGGAGATAATTAATAAACAAACCTTATGGCTGGAGAAAATAACTGGACATCCTTGCTTTATATCAGTAGTTGTGATTGCAACGTTAGTCAACGTGTCATGCAAATGTTTGTCTCCTAGTATTTCCTTCAACAGCTTACGTAAGTACTTCCCATTATATTTGGGCCCTACTAAACATTTCAAATAATGTATGATTTTGCCGATGCGAGAGCTGCTGCACAAGGAATCAAAATTAATTATTGTTACTCGTTATGCATATAAAAGGTACGCAGTGCAAGACTTTCTGTCAACAATTAACTATACGTACCTGGGTTGGGGGAAAATCTTAGGGCAGTGTTGGCGATAAAAGGGGACAATATCTTTAGCATCATATAAGGGACGATTATTTTTATTTGGGGTAGTAAGCATGGACGCCATAAGGCCACCTGTGCTCGTCCCTACAACCCAATCAAGATAATCTACAAGCCTTACATGATCACCATCTATCTTCTGCATATAGCAAACAAGTAAAGCAAAAATTAGTGTCGTATTAGATTACAGAAGAAAGAAAAAAAGTACGATAAACACACTAATATCAAATTGTGACTAATGAAATAAACATGATAGTTAAGTATAGCACTACGTCATGACATGACTAGTTTACTCATATTATAATACACGTATTTATTTATCTACTGCTATACGTGCACATTCGATAAAAGTGACCACTAATAAATTAACTGCAAAATAACGCAATATATATGTACATAGCGGCATGCATGCAGTGGTAGTGTGGTATGACAAAATTTTGGAGCACTTGGTGACAAAATGCAGATCGGGCTCATATTGTAATGAAAGAATATTGTTTGGTGAACAAAATTTGATATTATAAATTGCTCATAATAGAGTTCTAGTTTTGATTTTTTACCTGAAGCGTAGACTCTAGGAATGCAAGCATAACTCCTGGAATAATCCCTCTTATTCCGCCTCCATCAATAGAAAGAACAGTGGTGAGACCTTCGTTAGCGAGAGCATGAAGGGATGATTTTGTTTTCTCCATGAGTGAGAGATTGAATGCACAAGACTTAACAATGAAAACTAGAGAAGCGATTGATTTGACGTTGCAAGAATCTCAAAAAGAAAGCTTTGCAAGTTATGGGATTAACCAATTGAGTTGTGGGACTTTATAGTGATATTTCCCTCTGTGAGCAGGAAATTTTAGTTTCCATTTTTATATTCTAAGTTGTATTTACTTTCCTTTTTGTATAGTTCCTATTGTAATTAGGACTTCTTTCCTATATTGTTAGCATTTCCTACACAGACAAGTTTATATAAAAACCCCTCACGTGTTAGAAGAGTCATGCTTATCCTTAACTAGTCTCAACGTTGCTCACTTTCACATTTTCTGTCAACATACAAAGCCCAAAGTATTTTCAGTTCCGTTGAAGTTTAGGAGAAAAAGAGAGATGTCTTGGACTTGATGATCAGTTCAAGCGTAAGAATGATGTCTATGGCAATCCTTTTCCCGTGAAGAGTAGGAGGAATTGTGATAGTCGCGATCTGTAAAACAAGGGTAAGTGTCAGATGAAGGGGCTTGAACTGGTCCACACAATTTGAAGAAACAAAAAGAAGCATATGAACTATTCTTAACCTCGGTCCTTGGTTCTGTCCCTCTCAGCCTCTTCTCGATCTTGTTCCGGTCAGAATCCCTGCCCCCCCGGACTTTCATTCTATCCCTGTCTCTGCTTTTATTGCCACTAGATTCCATTTTGCGTTCAGACTTGGATTTGATACTGAAATCTTCTATTGCCTCTCCCTCAATAGGCATACTTTCATCACTCTCTTTAGAGTCCTTCGGCTTGTCAATGGCTAGCTTGGCCAACACACCCTTTGATCCACCAGATTCAGGATTGACTTCTGCTGCAGCCTTCGAATTAGAGGTATTATCAATAGCTGATGGGCTATTATAGAACGGGGCAGGAATTAGAGAGAGAAAAAAAGAAGAAGAATACCTTTGGAATTGGCTGAGACTGTGAATTACATGACTTGTTAGAAAATGAGCCAGCACCCTACAAACTTCCTCAATCCCTGATTTCACAGCATTAAATGCCTTCCACCATGGCGGATTCTCAGGAAGGGGCACTTGTAACCTCCGCAAGCAACAACCTCACCCGTGAATCGCACACACAATGTTGTACTATCACCAATAAGGTTAGTGAGAACTAAAACAACAAAATAGTACATTGAGTATAAGTTTTTCAAATGAACTATCCCCAATAAGGACAACAAAGACACATAATCCAGTAAAAAAAAGTTTCCAAATAATTAAACAACAATGTAAAGTTCGAAAGTTTCAAAGTCAAATGGAAAAACCAAGTGCCAAGAAAGTAAATAAGTAATTGGCATATGGTGGGGGAAGTACCTGTCATTTGCTAGTTTCCAGGCTTCTTGTGTTCATTCTGGTGGTGTCTCCAGAGTGGCAAGATAATTTGATATAAACTTATGAGGATGCTCAACATGACAAATGAAACCCATCTCTTTTAAAATACGTCTTTCTGCTTTACTCAACTCCATCTTCAAGTCCGAACATTTCTGGAAAGAAAGTAGACAGAGATAAACCAGTGGAGTCGAACGATCAATTTTATTGCCATTTATCTCCATTTTATTGTGTTACTTGAATTCAGAGGTAATTGCCATTAGACTGAAGAGCTTTAAAAAAGGAGCGACTGAGGTTCTCATTCATGTCACTATTTACTCTCATAAGAAGATCCACCAGTGGAGTTGAACGATCTTTTCCGATTAGCCAATCCAGAGCACCCCAACAAGCTGCTTTTTTGGCATCGTACTTCTTCTCAGATGTCATACCAGTCCCCAGTGATACAAGACAGACCCGCTCATGGATGCCAGTGTTGCCCACGTGCATGACAAAATTGTATATTTAAAGGGTATAGTCGAGCGGCTATACTCTTCAAATATATTTGAATATTTTAAACGTATAGCCGTTCGGCTATACTTTCTAAATACATTCGAATATTTTAACGGTTTTAAACATTCCAAAATTGCACTCGCAGAGGACGGAAATTGCACTTGCAGTCACTGCTTCATCCTCCAGGTTCGGCACCGGAAAAAGAGCCAACCCGCCTAGGCTCCCGCCCAGCCTCCTAGCTCCGGCCTAGCTACTGCCTAGCCTCCTAGGGCCCACCTAGCCATCGCCTAGATGCCTACCGCCCTCCTAGCGACTGCCTAGCCACCTACCGCCCATCTAGCGACCTCCTAGCGACCGCCTAGTCGCCTAGCTCCGGCCTATTGCTGGAAATGCTCTTAAGGATAGGACTCCAAATCATGCATCCCGAAATAGGACATGTCATCTCCTCCATGCTGGATAAAGCACCAAGAAATTAACACAATTAATTGGACAGATTATAAATCAGTTTTTTATTTGTTTAATTTATTTTACATGTGGCAAGGTTTGACTGGTTATTTGAAATTGTTATCGTGTACCTTCCGCACCTGATTGGACTCCAAAAGGTTGAATACTCCTATAAAACCATATTCTCTCCCCCTCGCATTTTTCTGAGTCTCTCTTTCCTTTTTCCGAACCCTAGCCGCAAGTCTCTTCATCTCTCTCTCTCTCTGAGATTATTCTTTTCAGATCTTTGTGTGCATTCGTGCCATTTCTACTATCGGTATGGATTAAGTTTACCCTTGTTTTCTGTTTTCTTAATGCTTGTCAGTTAGGATTATTTATCACAGAGCTTAGAGCAATGGCTCCTGCTAAAGGTACCTCCTTTCTCATGGAACTGATATATTTTGTATAGTACCCAGAAAAGGAAGAAAACAAAGAATGTGGGTTTCATCATAGCTTTCTCGTTCTTCTAATTTTCTTGTTGTTTATTGGTATTGGTTCTTTTGATTGTTCAAGTGTTTGATGTTTGAATGCTGGGCTTGATTGGTTGGACAATTTTCTTATCTCCCTATAGAAAACTCGTACAGAAGGAGGCTTCTTTCTCTTCTTCTCCCAAAAACTCTGCCCTCTCTCAACCCAGACCCTTGTCTGTCCGTGTCTCACCCTAATTTTTTGGGGCTGCTTCTCAGTCTGTTGTTCTGATTTTGGTTAGATCTCCCACCTTTGGACCGTTGTTGTATGTATTCTTGATCTAGGTAGATCTCCTTTGGATATATTTTTTGTGGAGGTGTAGTTGTTGGATCTAGTTAGGTAGGTCTAGGTAGATCTTCCATCATATGGTATTGAGGGATCGTGAGTTTCCATCATAGGTCGAAGGAAGTTTTTTATTAGGGATATTTCTGGAATTGGTCTCCTCTTTTGTTTTCATTATATTTCCTTGTGAATGATTTACATTTTTCTTCGACCTATACCTGATGGGAACCAAATCCAGATTGAGTTCACATTCTCATTCATGCTAAAGAAGTAGTTATTTGAAAGATTAGTATGTGAATGTGGATCAAAAAATGTGTTTGAATCACTTTATTAAGGGCTCCCAACTCCTGTATCAAATCCTGTATTTTTGGATTAAACACTTGGTTGACCTGAGTTATTTTCATTAAGTTTTTTGGCTTTACTCATCTCTCTTTATTGACCAAGTTATTGTTAGTCATTTTGTTTGCTTGTCCTCTTTATTCTTTCTATTTGACCATGTAAGATCTAGCTGCATGGATTTAATTAGGAAAAGGAACTTTGATGGCGTACATAAATATCTATTATCCGTAGTGGTTTAAATTTGTAGGTCATGATCAAATTCGTACAAATAGTGTTTGGCGTAGTGGTTTTAAATATTGCTAAGCCACATGCATCTTTTCCAGTATCTTTGATGCTGTGATGTATCATTTCTTGTTCGACAAGCACCCAAATATCGGTTTGGCTGCTCTTTTAAACTGTTTCTTTAACTTCGACTCTACTACTCTCAGCATCTCCGATAATATTTTTTTCAACACCTTTTAAGTCTTTTATCTCACCCTCAGCATCAAAGCATTGAGTTGCAAATCAAGATTTTAAAATTAGCTGCCACATACATTAATTCAGAATCAGCTAACGTCATACACTAATGCACTTGTTACTTAATACTCATCACATCTAAAATCGCCTAGCTTTGCTTGTCCGTCAAGTAGGAACATGTTGCAAGGTAATAAATCACCATAGAATAATCGTTTTCTATGGAGATATATCATGCAAGGCTTGGTATATCTCAATGGAAAACGATTCCTCCATAGTGATTTATTGCCTTGCAACGTGTTCTTATTTGATGGATAAGCAAAGCTGGGTGATTTTGGATGTGGTGAGTATTGAGTAAGTACCAAATGCATTAGTGTATGATGTTAGCTGATTTTGAATTAATGTATGTAGGCTAATTTTAAAATCCTTGATTTGCAGCTAAATGCTTTGATGTTGGGGGTGAGATAAAGGACTTGAAAGGTGTTGAAAAAATATTATCGGAGATGGTGAGAGTAGTAGAGTCGAAGTTGAAGAAACAGTTGAAAAGAGCAGCCAAATCGATCGTTGGGGGCCTGTCGAACGAGAACTCATCTATCACAGCATCAAAGATATTGGAAAGGATGCATTTGGCTTCGCAAATTTGAACACAGAGCGGAGAGTTGCAATAGATTTAGGGTCCTCACACCTTTTCTTTAGCTCTATTCCTCAAATTGTCTAACTGCTGCTCGAATTATCAGCTGGTCATTTTTTGAATTCTTCAATGCTGAGTTCCAATTGAATTCTTTGATGTATATTTCTGATCTGTTATAAAGCTCCAAAAAAATTTCTTGAAGTATCTCGCTCATTTGGTCCACATCACATGTGAGACTTCAACATGTAAGTGAGAACTAAAACCAACATACTTCAAAAGGGTCTTTGTTTAGATGAATCTATGCCCTCTAATCGAGCACTTCAGCAGGGTGCAGGTTCCAATATCTTCTAACAAAAGTTCATTAGTTTAGGAAAAATTGTCTTATCCTCGTATTTGAAAACCATTACATTGAAATTTTGGTTTTGAGCTTTTATTTTACATCAATGATTAACAGTATATTTCAAGATCGGTCTTATGCAGAGTTACAAACTAGACTATTGAGACAAACTTGCAAAACGTAGGCCAGCGTCCCAGCAAGCAACATCATGATGTGTGAACCTGTCAAGTGAGTACAAAATTTGGAGGAAATGCAGTTCTTTGTTTTCTAACATCTACTTGAAGTAGGAGAATATATTAAATATATAGCAATTCATAAAATATAAGGCAAGAGAAGATTTGTAAGCTTAGTTACTCCCGTTGCAAAGCTAAAACATGAAGTGATGTTCTTATTTGCAACTCTAGGGGAAGAATAGTCAATAAATTGTTACTACAATATTAAAAAAATAAGACTGTAGCACCATCACCATGTAAGGGGTTTTCTTCTAGCAGTATGGGAATAAACCATGATCCTAAGCTTTAAATAGATGAACTCTAAAACAACCCTATCCACATTTACCTCTAAAAAGCAGTCCTACTTCCAATGAAAATTACTGGTAAAGAAAATTGACAAAAAATATTAAAGTATTGAAATTATGATAGATGTGCGGCTATATTATTTCTTTTAAATAAAATTGAAAAAAATCGAGTATAGCCACCTGGTTGTATTATTTTTTGAAAAAAATTAGAAAAACCCAAGTATTGCCACATGGCTATACTATTTCTTTTAAAACAATTTGAGAAACGGCTATGCTATTTCTTTTTAAAAAAAGTAGAAAACCCGAGTATAGCCATGCAGGTATGCTACTCCTTTATTTTTTAAAATAGCAAAAATAGCCGCCTGGCTGTACTATTTATAAAAAAAATAGCAAATACTATTTATTGCAAAAAGCCAAGTAAAGCCGCCCGGCTATATTAATTTATAAAAATAGAAAAAACCAAATATAGACGACCGGCTATATGATTTCTTTAAAAATAAATTAGAAAAACTGAGTATAGAGCTCATAGTCAATGGAGCCTAGTGTTATTATGAATAGAACAATCAACCTTCAAACCATGAACACATTCTCAGTTTGGCTACATTCTGCAGTATATCATCACTTTTTATTACTAACAAATGACTTCCAATGCATGAAGAAATATGTTCTGCTTGTTCTTTTGAGCTCGACATTTCACCTTCATCTTAAACTAAAATGCAACCTTTCAGGTTTGTAGAGAACGGGAAGCAACTGCCCTCAAAGTAAATAAGGATGTGAAGTTGGCACTTATTCGCATAGGTGTTGTGCTTGGCAAAGATGGCGGTGCTTTAGGTATGAACAGTCCTGTGAACCCTTACTTCCCTTGTATGCGCATGAACTGATCTACTTTGACTGTGTCTATGACTGGTACTATGAAATGAACCCTTGCATTGTATGCTCGTGTTGCGTATGACTAGTACTTCACCCTTGCATGTATGCTCATTAACAAAACTTGCCTACTTGGATTTTGGGTTTGTCCACTTTACTGTTTCATTATACATTGACCAATCTGGTTATGCTTAGGGTTGCATGATCTCATAATTTTATTGGGGTATTTTATGCATGGTTATCTCTAATGTTCTATTTCTGTTAGTCATCTAAGAAAAATATACTAGCGAAAATGTTCTAAAAAGTTGTATGATTTTTATCTTCCTAGTGTAACAATTATACATATCTAGAATTTTGTTGGTTTCAAGATAACAAAGCTTCTCCTGCCTCACACATAGTTACACCTTTGAGCTTCTGCAGCTAAAATGATCCCTTTCTTCATGGTGTTCGCTGGAGGACCCTTGGGCTCTGGAAAACAATGGTATTTTCCTGAAATTTCAGTCCTTTTGTAAGGGTAGTCTGTCACACTTTTGTGCTACTAACACTTTATGGTTGGCATTTTCCTCTGGTTCATCATTAAAAAGGAAAATATAAGCATTTTAATGATGTTAATGAATTAATTTAACTTGACAAATGAAGTATTATCTACTGAATGCCTGTTTAATGAAGAGAAGAAAATAAATGCACCAAAGATATATCAACAAATGTATTTATTATTCTCAATGTGCTGTAGGTTTTCCTGGATTCATCTGGATGACATAGTGAACCTGATATATGAAGCTCTATCCAATCCATCTTATAATGGTAAAGATTTCATTATTTGTAATTTTAATTATAGTTTTAGCAAAGTACAAAAGGATTGATGTTGGATTGATGTTGCTAGCACATGGAGATAACTACACTTCTAAAGATTTCTAGTACTCTATTAATCTGACGTACCATTTCATATCATTATATCTTGTTCCCTTCTGAAAGCTACTCTAATTAACTGATATATGCAGTCACGGTAGATATCAAATGTTTTGTTTTTTATTACCATACCTGCGTACAAATATATGATAAGAGTGTTCAGCTTTTCAACAATTACCAAAATCTCAGGAATTATCAAATTTTCACCTAGGCTATCCATGTGATACTGGTTCTCGGAACTTTTCAACATATTGAACGCGGTTGTTAAATCCTTAATCTCAGGAGTTATCAATGGAACTGCACCCAACCCGGTTTGATTTGCAGAAATGTGTGAACATTTGGGAAATGTCTTGGTAGGCCTTCATGGCTGCCTGTACCAGGTTTCGCCCTGAAAGCGGATCCTTGGAGAAGGTGCTTCTGTGGTAAGAATTTTCTTTATCTTCTTTTCAATTTTCTCCTGATTGCATATTGCTCAGAAACTCAATAAGGTCATTGTAGGTTCTGGATGGGCGAAGGGTGCTTCCAGTTAAAGCCAAGGAATTCAGTAGATAATGTGACAGGAATTAGGCTTCACGTTCAAGTACTCTTCTGTGAAAGATGCTTTAAGATCTATTATTTCACAATAAGTGACATAATGTGACGGGAAACATCCATGGTTCTTCTTTCTTTTAGGTATTGTTATAATAAGTTGCAGAAGAAGCATCTTTCTTTTTCATTCTTTTTGTTATAGTCTCTAATACAAGGAAAGGGAATAGAAAGCAAACAAAACAGTAAACAAAAAAGGATCAGAATAGATACATCTTATAAGAATAGGGACTACTACCACATTGGATCACTTCTGGATCGATTAGAAGGCTTGAAATATAGGCAACAATTCAATCCGCCCAAACTTACCGATACAATCCGATCTAATTTTAATTGAAATACTAGTAACGAAATGGCGTACACCCCTACGTCTCAGTTGTAATGATCCCCTAGTTTGGGGAGTTTACTGTAGGTGATCGTTAAAAAAAATAAAAAATTGTGAATTGGCAGAAGCTATTACAGGCTGAAACGACCCTGAGCAGAGTGTCGTTATATCCTTCCTTCAATACTGTGCTATAACTTTGCCTCCCACGAAGCAAAGATGCAAAGCTCGGAGACTAGTTCTATCCCAAAACCTCACGTCATGCCTGGTAATGGTATCTCATAAACTTGGACGACTCGTGCCCACCACCTCGTGATTGCGTTCATTTCTACAATAAATTAAATTTCTCCCCATATTTTTTTTCTTTGTTTTTCCCTTTTTATGTGCATTGCATGTACTGTTTCTCCCGAAAAAAAAGGCGCTTGCTCTTGAAGACCCAGTTGAGCTAGTGCTTTCCTTTGGCAGAGCCTTTTTCAACTCTTTTAAGTTCTGTTCTGATCTGGGTTTTTGCTAAAATGGAAGTGGGTCTTGTTGGGTTGCTTACAACGGCTTGGATTGCAGCGATACTGCCCATACTCATAGCTTTTGTAGCTTCTTCTAGGTTGAGCTCATTTCATAAAGCTGTTTTGGATTTGCCAAGAGAGGGAAGATCATGAAATCTTCTTCTCAGTTTAGTGATTGATTGTGATTGGCTTTTTTCGTTTAGTCTCGCATCTATACTATTTATTTTATTTTATTTTTATAAAAAAAAAAAGTATAGCCGGGCGGCTATACGATTGCTTTATATAAAAAAATTTAAAAAATGGAGGCTATACTATTTCTTTTATTATTTTTTTAAAACACCCGAGTTTAGCCGAGCGGCTATACTATTTCTTTAAAAAAAATTAAAACCCCAGTATGGCCGTACGGCTATACTATTTCTTTGTCAAAAAAATTAAAACCGGGAATAGCCGCGCGGCTATACTATTGATATGAAATAAAATTTAAAAGGGAGTTTCACTAAAACACCCAAAATGGGGGTTGAAATTATAAAAAAACCCAAGCACTATTTAAACATATAAACACACCCAAAACCCATCATTACACATACTCAAAACCCATTTATAAACACACCCAAAAAGTTGACTTTGGGGTTGATTTTGGGTGTGTTTCTATGTTTAAATAGTGCTTGGGTTTTTTTATAAATACATGTCTAGGATTGGGTTTATTTATAAATTTGTAAATTTAAAAACCAGGTATAGCCGGCCGGCTATACTATTTTTTAAAAAAAATTTGAAAAACCAATAGAAAAACGGAGTATAGCCGGTAGCCGCCAGCCGGCTATACTATTTATTTTAAATAAATTTGAAAAATCGAGTATAGCCAAATGGCTATACTATTTCTTTTTAGAAAAAAAATTTGGAAAAACCGATTCTAAAGCTAAGGCAAACGATTCTAAAGTTTAATTTCAATCCAACTGCACCCATAATCAGCTTATAGTCCTCCGGACAGCTTTATAATTTTATTTCATGGTTCTTAGGGCATTCATATGAGTAATCATGCTTTTGTTGTGATGTGTAACCATAGCAAGCCTAACAGATCGAACTTGACTACATTGCTAGTGATGTATGCATAAAGATTCAGATAAATTCATTTAGTAACAAAATTAAAAGCAATAGTGCATAAAGATTCAAAAAGATTCATTCAGTAACAAAATTCAAAGCAATAATGCGTCCCCTGCAAATGCAGAGGAATTAGAAAGATCGAACTTGACTACATTTCTAATGATGATCTTATCTTTTGAAAAGCTTATTTAGTTATACAAAACTACATAGTAAAATTACTTACCTTAACAATGTGAACAACAAGAAAAGCCACCGAGACATACAGAAGCATCGATAACTCCTCTATAGGTACCTGGACAGAGTTGTTCACAAATTCAATAAGACAGAATCTGAAACAACTTCAAAATTGCAGATAACCAAGAACTTGGAACTGACCTACTCATCTTGCAATGAAACCATCTGCAACAAAGGAGATGTGCGCTTTAGAGTTTTATTTTAGTTCATATTAGTGCATAATCTCTAAACTTGGTCTATATATACACTCACCGCCACATTTGGACTCCAATTCCAACTGCTTTTCTGCTTCCTGAAAGTCATGTGAAACCTCAAATTCCTTGTTAGTACGTTGGTAACAGACCTTACTCATTGATAGCCCAGGGGATCCAGATAGTTGTGTGAAAATCTTACCTTCTTCATCATTGTCTCTTTCTTCCATGTTTATATGCCTTTCATTAAAGCTTTTGTTGTTGTACCAACCAGAACTCAGAAGAATATTTAATAAGATTATTGGGAGTGTATATTCTGTAGAAAATGTAATATACTTCTAATAGTCATAGCATATGTACTCATATCATTTGACAGATTCAAATAATTAAGCCTATGTTGGTATAAGCGGAAGCAACTATCTCTAAATGTTACCAACCGCTCTGTGATGGTAAATTTTTTCATTGTGAAGTGCACGGGATTGGGATGTATTAATGACTTTACTGTTATATTTTGAATTCCAAATTCCAATGCCAGGAGGAGCAGTGCTTGATTGGGGTCTTTATCTCCACCATGATTCCTGTTTGAAGGTAATACATAGAGATTTGAAGGTTAGTAACATTCTCTTGGATGGGAACATGAACCCAAAACTTGCAGATTTTGGATTGGTACGAACACGGAGTCTAGCAAATACTCACAAGGTTGTAGGAACAATGTAAGCATCATCTTTTTCTTTTCCAATTCTCGGAAATCTTCTTTAAAAATTAAATCCTTGAACACACTATCACTCATATATGAATAAATGGCCTAGGCAGGCGCTAGGCGGTCTAGGCGGGGGCTAGGCGGGCGCTAGCGCCTAGAAGAAAGAAAACGCCATTTTGGAACTCCAAGGTCTGGGACGAGATGATGATGGTGCTATGAGGCGAGAGAGAGAGAGAGAGAGAGAGAGAGAGAGAGAGAGAGGGGGGGGTGAGAGAGGAGAAGGAGAGAGGGTGCGTGGGGTGTGGGGGGTTAGAAAAGGGCCTGGGCGGGAGAGAAGGGCCTGGGCTTCAGAAAATACAACATTAAATCTATTTTGCATTATGAAATCACTAAAGTAGCCCCTAATAAGTAACAAATAACAAATTAATATTTTAATATTTTAAATCAAAAAAATATTATACTATTTGTTTAATATATAATTTATATATCCTTTTATTTTTCATGATTTTGGTATAAATTCAAATTTTAAATACTAAATAATTTATTAAAAAAAGCATAGGCACTCGCATAGGCCCCGATTCCTACTCTAGGCGTTAGGCCCTTCCCTGCCGGCCCCTTACGACATAGTGATTTTTCGAACATTGGGATTAACATGTTGGTAAATCGAGGTGTACCAGCACTTCAATTTACAACCCTGCAATTTTAACTGACTCCAATTCCCTTCTGTTTGTGTTCATAATTAATTAAAAATTAGTTGCATTGCATGGCTTTTAGATTTAACTTTTCTGGTATAATTTCTCTCAAGACTATAAACAAAGAAGCAATTTCATCAGTTCTCAATTGATCTTGCAGTGGCTATATGTCTCCGAAGTATGTCTTGGGTCTCAATTTCATCAGACACAATTCCGTTCTACTCTTATTATTACAAGTGCTTTCATGCATTAGGCCATTGCCAGTCAAAAATCCGATCATTCATATGACATTTAAGGGCTGGTAAGGACAAATTAATATCAAATGATTGTTGTGAGTAAAATTAAAAAATTTTATTTTATTTTATTAATTTTTCTTAATCTTTCATGCCCTTTTTACATGTTTTCTTATCTCTTCACCACTCACCACCAATAAAAAAAAAATTAATAAAAAAAAAACTCTGAAAAATAGACCTAGGCGGCCGGAGAACACCGCTGTGAGTTCACCCTAAACATTAGTGGTAGGCGCCAGGGAGTTAGGCGGCCTGGGCGGGTTGGGTGGCTGCTTTACTCTTCTCGACCCAACCAGTGGCGGCGATGGCTTCTTCTCTACTCGTCAGAGGTATCTTTGAATTTTTCTTCTTTTCTTTGTAGGGTGCAAGAGGTAGAGAGATGATAGAGGCCCAAGACTAGACGGTGGAGGCTGAGAAAGCTGAGAGAGGATAGAGGTAGAGAGAGATGGGAGGCGATAGGGGCGGAGAGATGAGAGATAAGATGAAGTTACGTGAATTTTTTATATAATAGGTTTTCTTCAAAACAACGTCGTATTGAGGTTTTGGTTTCTTTGAACATTGGCTTTAAGTTAAATGCACGTTTTAACTTTCAACATTCCCTTTTTGTTTTTTTTAAATGTTTTTTTTTTGGTTTGACCCCCCCAATGTTGTGCTTACCTTTTTCTTTTTTCTTTTGGTTTTAAAAAATTATAAATATTTTAACATGGACCTATATATATATACTATAACCCTAATATTATGTTTGAGGATTAATTATTATGCTTAAATCAGAATTAGTACTTGTAATTGATAGATTATTATGGTTTAATACAAATTAGTACTACAATTTAGTTGTATTATAATTTTTTTGAGAACATTGGTGCTAATAAACCAAAAACTGAATAATATTTAATAAGATTATTGGGAGAGTATTCAAAGTAAATAAGTTATAAGGAATTTGTGTTCAAAATGTTATTACCTAGGAAGAGAATGATAAGTAGAACCATGACCATCCAATCGGCGAACATGACGTTGAAGGCATGATGTAGGATATGGGTGAATTGAGTATTTAGGTAATTTAGCGGAAACAAAAACAATATGGACAACATAAAATAGGATGAACAAGGATAGGTATGGAATCACTCTAGGGGTTTGGTTTCACACCAAGTAGTCTCCAATCTCCGGAAAATAAACTTTTCTTTATATCTCAACAACTCTATAATGAATTAAAACCTAGATACAATAGAATATAAAAAATTCCTTGCTAAAACAGAAATTCTAACCTAAATAAAATAGGAAACTTATAAATCCTCCTAAGGCAATA